TGCTACCAAACGGGCTCTATATGTGTAAACGATACCTAACTTTATTATTATTTGTTCTTTCTAAAACTCCCCTAAATAAGAATAAAAATAGTGTGAATTTTAAAATATAATAATAATACTACCTCTGTCCCGAATTAATTTGCAAATGTGACTTTTCTTGGTCAAACAGTTTCATTTTATTCGCTTAATAAGAATGTCAATTTTTAATTATATTCTAATTTGGAGTTTACAACTTTGAAGAGATTTTAATGTAATTTCTGAATATATAAACATTAATTATTAAAAATTAAATTAATTATCGATACGAAGCATTGACTTTTATTAATGTTTGACCAAAAATTGTTGACTTTGCAAAACAATTTGAGATGGAAGGAGTAATAATTAATATTGATATTAATATTGTCATAGTCGTTAGGTAATAACAAAGTATGCCAGCTTGATACCAGAATGACAATAATTTACGGAATGGGATCCTCTGCCGCACGGCAGAGTGCCTTGCGGCAGGGAGGCCGTCGGATGGGAAAAGTGGAGCCTCGAGATACGGACCTCAAAATCTCCGACCGTTGAAATATTGATCAGACGACTCCCGAAGGCCGGGCAGAGTGCCTTGCTCAGAAGTAAGGCAGAGAATCCGGATCCATAATTTACTTCTATTAATTTAGAAGAAGAAAACTGAATAAATAGCACTTCACGCTGCTTTTAGACTTTTATTAACGGCAGAGTGCCTTACTCAGAAGTAAGCCAGAGAATCTGGATGGGTAATATACTTCTATTAATTTAGAAGAAGAAAACTGAATAAATAGCAATTCACGTTGCTTTTAGACTTTTATTACCACTATTTAATTTGGAAAGCAACTAGAGATCTTCTACAGCGCCGCTTCTTTAGATCGATAGATTGAGTAAAAGGAATGGTGGCATTTCGTCGATTTTAGTTTCGATATTCTTAGGCGACATGTTTCATCATTTTTTTCTTCTGCTTCATTTTGTGCTTCCCGTCAATCTTGGTTGCTGTACACAAGTTGTCCGACTGAGTTTCTGCTCTGGCCTAGGGTTTGTTTGGCTGAGTTTTCTCTGGCCGAGGGTTTGGTCCGTTCCAATTGTGAACATGTTTGGATCGGATTTTTAATTTGCTGGTGAGTCTCGTTGCTTCTTTTTTTTGTGTCTTGGATCCGGCAATTGTTTTCCTGGCTATTAGTGGAGAGCTTAAATCAGGTTTATGAAATGAGGCCATTCGAGAAGGTTAATGGCGAAGAGACAAAAAAGTAAAAACAGCAAGATGGCAGCGCTCCAGGAACAACACCGCCTACAATATTAACAAGTCTTGTACACGAGATGATTCCTTTGGAGGTGGTTGGTCAAACCTCTTCCCCTTTCCGATGGTTGGTAAAATCGGGTTGCTTCCATTGAAGGTGGATGGGCAAACCTCTTCTCCCTTCCTCATGGCTGGCGAAACCGGGTTGCTTGAATTATGTTGTTGCTTTTATTTTAATTTTAAATATAATCTACACTAGTACAAAAAGACCATTCTACATCGGGCTTTCTACATGTGTTATTCTACAATCCATGTGAAAAAGATCGAGGGATTTCTCTTCCTCCTTGCGACCTCAAATACATCAAGCTTGAGGATGACTTGTGAGCCCTAACCCTGAATACATCGAGCAAAATGAGAAGCAGGCAATTTGGAAATGAACCATTATTGAATCAACAATGGTTGTTTTTATGTGGATGGGCGATAAACAGAGGGAAGAAAACGGAGGCGTCAACCGTTGGCACTGTAGTAACGTAAAAAGAACGAAACTAACCCCCTACCGTGCTTTATATAAGTAGGGGATATAAAACACAGTCTTTGTATAGATTTTTTTTTATCATCAAAACGGTTTTTCATTAATATAGAGCAAACATGCAAGACAAAATCCAGGCAGCAATTACAGATCCGATCGTAAGCCCTAGGAATAGAATTAGAGTCAGCCACCCATACAAAGCAACCTGACTCGCTAGACACAAAACGGGCAAGAAGAAGCCTAAAACGACCGAAAATGAAGCACTGGCTATCAAAAGTTCTTCAAAAATCAAAATACTCCAACCATACCTACTTGAATTGAAATAAAAATAAGTACTACGAAAGGAAAAATAATACGAAAATAAAAGCTTTCCCCAAATTGCTTCCTCGCACGGAGGTGGTACCGGAGGAGGGCGAGCTATTGTAGCATGGTAGAAGAGAATTTCAACCCCCGAAAAATTCATCTGAAACCCTATCCTTCCTGCGCTCCCCAATTTGCTCTTGCCAATTTGCTCTTTGAGATTTGCCACTGAAATCCATGCCCGAGATGCAAAATAAAACTCTATCATATTGCCTTGTGTTTCTTTGCCCACAAAAATCCAAGCCGCGCGCACCCCACCGCCCTTGCGTTCCACTCACGTTCTGAAACTCCCGAAAGGAAATTCACACGATGCTCTCGTTCCACGAGATTCCAAGCCGCACGAGCGAAGCTCGGCAGAACAAAAAAAACTAACTATGTAGGGAGACGGCCGCTCCTCGACAATATCGATATCGGAGAGAAAAACCAAGCGGCGGCGAACCAACCTAGAGAGAGAAAGAACCTCACGAAGCATATTACAATTAAACAATAGTAAAATGAGCAAACTCTCAAAATTGAATTAAAACATACTCCCTCCATCCCTTATAACTTTCCCAACTTTCCTTTTTTGAATGTCCCATTAACTTTGCCACTTTCCCATTTAAGTAAAGTATTTGTGGTTCCAGTTAATTCTCCCTCCTCCGCACAAACCTCAACCGCACATTTTTTACTTTATTAATCCATGTGCCGGTCAAACTTGCCAAAGTTATTAGGGACGGAGGGAGTACGTAGTATTGAAAGCATAAAACCATGAGTAATACTCCATTCGATGCATCTAGCTAGACTTGTAGAGAATTTATTTGAATGTCATTCTCATTGAATTTTTAGCTAAAATTTGTTATGAATAAACTAGATTCATGTGGAACATGCTCAAAAAATTCAAGGATAAGGCCCCAAATGGTCTCGCACTCTCTCCCTGACGGCGGTTCCCGTCAGGCCTGCCTGCAGATACGAACTGCATGTGGGTTCGATTTACTAAGTTTGAATTTCTAAGCGTTTTTTACCGTCAGGGACTTATCCAAGTTTTTGCCCAGGGGCCTTATCTATGTTTTTCTCACCAAAAAAATAAGATGACTATTTTTTTTAGAACGGAGATCGTACTAAATAAGATGACATTTACTAGTCATCAATTTGAAATCATGAATAATAAACTCAAAATTTACATTAAAAAAATTAATATAATAGTGGCTGAAACTTTGAATATATAATAACGAACATAATATCAATTCATTAGTTCATTGAGTCCCATGCCACCATAATATATTAATATGGAGTAACATTATAACAACATTATTAATGTTGGATCTAATCTTGTTATTAGTGCTAGATTATTAGATTTTGTTCATGAGTCGAGCTAGTATTAGTAGGCCGCGGTGGTGTGCACATGGAGAGGTGTGTTCACGTGTGCACATGCAATGCAATCTGATTAAGTTAGTTATTTGCATGCATGTAAGTAGTGGGTGAGTGGGTCTCATTGTGGAGTGTGGTAATTAGACCTGTACAAAACCGGGCCGGCCCGTCCGGCCCGCCCGCACAAATTAGCGGGCTTGGGCATATATATTTACCTACCGGCCCGGCCCGGCCCGGGCCCGGCCCGCAACAACATATGGGCGGGCTTGGGTTAGAGTGTAGGCCCGTTCGGGCCGATAGGCCCGACCCGCTACATTTAGTATATATACATATACATTTTTATATATACTAATTTATGTATTTATTTACATGTACGCATGTATATTTTTATATGTACTAATTTATTTGTATACATATTTATAGTTTATTATGTTTAAATTTAAGTTTTTAGTTCTTAACAAATAGTCCAACCAATATAATATCTATTTTTGTTCTTAAAGATAATACTTTGTGCTTGAAATTTAAATTTTAGATATAGTTTCTCATTATTATTTTTGTGTAAATATTTTTTGTGAATGTGATGAAAGGCCTATATACATTATAAGCGTATTAGCAATTTTTAAATGTTGAAATATTATTTATAAAGTATTAAATAAATTATATAACTTTGAAAATTTAAAGTTTTCCCGGGCCCGGTGGCCCGGTGGACTTCCCGGCCCGCTCTTACGGACAGGTATGGACATGGGGTTAGGCCCGTTTTTGCGGGCCGGGCCGGCCCCGCCCACACACGATGGGCAGAAAACTTATGAAAAGTCCGGCCCGAGCCTGAGCCCGGCCCGAACCCGCTTTTGTGCAGGTCTACCGGTAATTAACTCCATTTGTACGTGGGGGTGTTGCTTTGTTAATTGTTTATAAATGAAGAAAAAGTGTGTGTCAAAGTAAGTTGCTTTGAGCACAAAAAAAATTCTACGTGAGTTCTTTCACACATGCATTAAATCTTAGCAAACACTTCAATATTATCATCTTCCTCCCTTAACAAATCCAACAATTAATATATACTAGTATACATAAAAGTTAATAATAGACATAAAAGTTAAATCTGATCTGATCTGGTTTGTTTAAATCTGATCTAATAATTTGATCTTAATTATTTGATATGGTCTCATTTATAACTGAAACAAGTCCAAGTAAAAACATCTTACGTGATACTCAACCCGTCCGGCTAAAATTGTCGCATCTTTACTTTACGAACCATCCCACTAAGCTATTTTTTTTTTTTGCGAAAACCACTAAGCTAAATTTGATTGGCAAATATGTCACATGTTTAATTTGTGTAACTTTGCGAGCTTGTACATTCTAACAGGATAATTGATTTTGAGTTGAATAAACTTATTATCACCTAACTGAAAGAATAGTAAACGATTAAAAGAAAACATGCACAATAACAACCCAACAACCGCGATAACAACAATACCAAGAGGAACCATAATTGGGACAGTCCTATGTACGTATCTTAGCTGCAGCTTTGAGAGTGGTGTGTCGATTTAAAGGCCGCTCTAGACAACCATTTCCAGTATCAAACTAACATATTGAGTAGTGATATTAAGCTAGCTAGAGTTAGAGATGGGGTTAAAGGGTAAGTTGATAGCGGCAGTAGAGTTCAAGCTCGGCGGAGATTTGTTCCATGAGCATTTCAGGTACAAACCTCACAAAATTTCCACAGCTAGCCCGGAGAAACTGCATGGATGTGATTTGCTGGAGGGTGAATTTGGTCACGTTGGCTCCGTTATGTATGCGACGTACACCACCGGTATGTACCATCACTACCTTACTCTTACACCTATCTTCTGATGTTTTTACTTGGAGTGAAATTTGCTGATCTCGTCTGGTATGGTCCGATTTGGTCTGGTCTGATTTGGTTTGAACTGGTTGGGTAAATATATGGTCTCTGTGAATTTTATAACTATCTAAGTCTGGTCTGGTCTAAACTGGTCTGGTCTAGGATAGTCTGACCTGGTCTGGGACTGAAAACAGTCTAAGTAAAAACATTCTAAATGGAACAAACCAAACTAGATCGAACCAGATAACAATTAACATATTTAGACATGCACACCGAAGTGAATCTGACCAAATTAGATTAGACTTAAACAAACCGAACCAGACCAGACAAGATAACAAAATTATAATCCAATTAAATACATGTAGTTGAAGTCTCTACTTAGCTTTCAAAAGGTGAAAAATGCACATACTTTATGGATGCTGTTTGACTTGCATGTACTTCCTCCGTTCTTTTTTAAATGTAGCGGTCCACTTTTCACGTTTGTCAGCGCACAAGTTTGACCATTATTATCTTTCATTACTTATAAGTAAAAAAATTTAAAAAATTAGATTTTGAAAATTTAAAATAAGAGGAATTCTACAATATTTATTTAAAACTTAATTTATAATACATTAATAAATAAAGTAGAATCAAAGTAGAACATGTGAATAGTGAAAAAAGTCCAATGTTGCATTTAAAAAAGAACAAAAGGAGTATTATTTTGTTCAAATAATTCAATTAGAGATATGACACACATGCAGATGGGAAAAAGAAGAAAATAAAAGAAGTTGTTACGAAAATCGATGAAGAGAAGAAGCTGATTGAGTACAAGGTCTTAGAAGGGGACTTGATGGAGCAATACAAAGCATTCACAATCACAATCCACGTGGAGAAAAAGAACAAAATTGATTTGGCCACGTGGACCCTGGAGTATGAGATGCTCAATGAAGAAGATGTGGAACATCCCATTTCATTCCTCTCCTTCCTCTTGGACCTCACCAAAGACGTCGAGACTCATCACAAACTCAACCTTTGATATGATGAATCCTAGTTCCATCGACTTCATTGGCCAATGTTTTAGGCCATCTTTTAAAATCATTCTAATAAACAAAAATTGTCACTTTGTAATAGAATTTGTGACGGGCTTACGAAAAAGTCCATACAAAATCCTTTACATATGGATAGTTTTTAGTACTTTCGAGTGACGTTTTTTATTGAGTTTGACTTTTGTAGTACCGAGTAGTAGTGATGGTTTGGTGCTTTCAATTTGTATCGGAATAAGTGATTGCATATTGTGTCATGTATCTATCACCATGAATGATCAATGGCACGTCTTTAATTTCATCATTATTTAAGCGTGTAGATTTAAATAATAACGGATGTACTAAATAGGAAAACAGAGACATAATTTAAAAAAATAACCAAGAATTATATATGTTGCGCGAAATCATGGGCTGACCCAGGAAATTTATCTTGGGAGGGCGGTAACTTAAACAAAACATTTTTTGGGAGAGCGAAAATTCTTTTTTAGTATATATATACACTAATTTTTTTTTATTGGGGGGGCGACCGCCCCCTGAGTCTGTACTACGGTCCGCCCCTGCGCGAAATTGACTAGAGTAAGTAGATCATAATTAAAGCTAGTGTAGATCGATGAAATTACTCAAACACATGAGCAAGCTCATATCATACGGAGTATAATACGAAAAAAAAAAATTAGGTATCCCTAATTTAAACTCCAAAGAAAGCTCGGAAAGGAGTAGTAAACTTTGAGTCAAAGCAAACCTCCCCTCTCTTTTTAGCAACTCCCGGCATCCCCTCGAGACATTTGGCGGTGAAGGTAAGTCCCTTCTTATCCAAATCATCCGTAAGTCGAAGAGAAGTATCCACTCTAATCACACTCGCATGCACAAATCTAAACGGTTTGACAACCAACTTGAGTGTCTTACCGTTTATTATTTCACATTTGATAACCACATCATTTACCTTCAAATCTTGTTCTTTCATCACAACCCTTTCAAATCCTCCCCTGCGACGTCAAGGTCATTGTCTGTAGCTTTAGAAAGCCCCTGGGCTGCTGGAATAGTCACTGCAGCTACCTGGTCACCTTGCTTGAGAGGCCCGGTCGGGTAGTCAGCAGCAACCGTGACCTGGACAGCAAGTTCAGCTTCGGGCGGGACAGCAGCAATAGTCTGGACCTCAGACCCGGTCGGGCCAGAGCCTATTTTCTCCTTATCCACCATGTTTGTACTTTATCTCTTCCTCCATCATCTTGTTTGGCTAGCTTTTTAAAAATAAATGGGTGGTGCCCAAATTCTTTGCAATGAAAGCAAAAATTAGGAAAAGTTTCATAAACCACAAATTGTTTGATTACCTTTCGGGAAGGTAGTCGTATAGGAAAATGAAGTGGTGGTGGCTTTGAGACATCAACCTCTATTAACACTCTAGCATAATCATTGTTTGCCCTCTCTTGAGTGATCTTGTCCGTGGTAATTGGGACCCCAACCATAGATGACACCTCACTCATAGCCTCATCATTCCATAAACTCATTGGTAGTTTACGGAATTTGATCCAAATTGGAATTTTTAGAAATTCCTCATCCTCAAAGGTGAAATCCTCCGAGAGTACTTTAAGCATTAGGAGTTTCCCAAATACGGTGTAAGGTCCCTCGAGTAGTACCTTCGATCTATCCACTTCATTTTGAACCTTAAAAATTATCCAGCCCTTATTATGCGACTTACAAGGCATTTTACCCCCCATTTAGCTTTCAAATCGTGGACAGCTTTGAGTCCGGGGAATTTACCGGTGAAGTGTCCCACTAGGCAGTAGCCCCACATTTCAACCATCGAGGGTAGTACTCGGTCACCAAAGTCCAATGTTTCGCCTTTCGGTGGAACATATTTCAACTTAATCCCATTTTTTGGATCACGGTTGTCTCTAAACAGGGAGTTCCAAGCAGCAGGTTGAACCCCTTTATGTTTTTCTGCCAGCATACAAGTCTGCCCAGCACCTCCCTGTACTTCGGTAGCAGGAGTGACATTAGTAACATTAGCCCCTGCAGCATTAGTTTTTCCCAGGCTAGTGTGAGACTCCCCTGCACAAGGCTTTGCAGCAGGCATTCCATAATTTTTAGAGCTCCCAGGATTAGCCAAAGATTTCTTCAAGGTAGGGAATTCATCATCACAATCTGCCAGAATGTCCAAGTTTCCAGCCTTTGACCTGGTAAGTCTGGAAGAAGACTCACAGTTCGATTTCTTCCTCCCCATGATTTGCACTCGTTTCTACCCCCAAGAACAGGGGTAAAATATCAAACAAAGATGCAGCAGAAATTCACTCAGATATTCGGAACTCAAATTCAGAGTTCAAATGAGAATAAAATTGCAGCAAGAGAAACGGGACACAGAGCATCTGCGAACCCAGTACCGTGAACAGTACTTGCGATTCTTTGCGTCGAAATCGGCTGTAATAGGTCTTCTACGTTCAAATCCAAGCATGGAATCGGAGTATAATACGATAGTATATATCATGGGTAGATGGGGATCTGGGGATCTAGTACCACATTGACATTTAAGGTTTCATTTTAAATTGGAAGTAATTTGCATATGCTCTATATGAGCAGTCCAATACCTAACTTTGTTCTTTATTCTCAAACTCCTCCCAATAGGAATAAAAATAGTGTGATTATTAACTAACAATTTTAAATATGACATTAATGTTTTTAGGAGGCGTTAGGTAACTCTATTTCTAGCTTATCAGTTTTATCAGTTTATCGGACACGATATTTTTTACTTCGCACGATGCACGCTAAATAGTGTGCTAATAAAAATAAGTAAAGTTGAAATTGTTTTTCGATCTGCTGAATTGGCTAAAGTTACTGTACAAAATAATTTTGTCTATGTTTCATGTATGTAATCTTTTCTTGATTTATTATTAAAATAAATATTAAATATAAATTTTGAAAAATTCAGAAGATTTAGCCAATTCACCCACTTTGGTGTTTTTTGGGTAAATTTTTCTAACCTATTATAGTATATGTTCTGTTATTTTCATCATTTGCAATGGAGCCAAATATTCATTATTTTTTGGCTTGAGAATATGATGGAATAAAGCAAAATGACTCATTAAACTGTCTGCGCTTCTTTGTTATGAAGCAGCAGTCAGTCCATGCAATTTTGGATGCGATTTTCACTATGGGTCATCCGGAAACAGTCTCTCTGTGCTTTACTACAGGAGTAAGACTGCGTACATCTGACCCCCCCCCCCTTACCCCACTGTAAGTGGGATCCTTTGCAGCACTGGGGTAAATGAAAATGAAAAATAGTATCTGTTCCGTTAGACCAATATCCTTGAACTGGGATCAGATTCGAACATGTGACCTCCTCTTTGAAAGTGTCATAGTGATGTCATCAGACCACAAGGTACATGGCACTCACTTTAGTTAGAAATTCATAAATTTAAGCAAATTCAGCGCAACAGATTCAGTTTTCCAAATTGACTGTTGGACTTTTCTTACTATGTACTCTTGGTAGGGGAAAAAAGATGATGGATCATTCTTGGTGTACACAAAATGTGTACACAGGCAATTTGACATCAAGTTTTACCCCTTTTAAACGAATTATCTATGTACACAGACAACTAGGACAATTTTTTGTAAATTTGTGTGCAACTCATGTACATTAAGAATTTTCCAAAAAAAATATTCTCCACATTCAACAAACTTAGAATTAGGATGTTTTCTTTTGGACTGAAATTTGCTGGTCTGGTCTGGTCTGGTCTGATCTGGTCTGAAGTGGTCTGGTCTGGTAAACGTCTGGTCTCTGTGTATTTTATAACTACGGAAGTATGGTCTGGTCTGGTCTGATCTGGTCTTGTCTTGTCTGATCTGGTTTGGTTTGGTCTGGGACGGAAAATAGTCCAGAAGAAAACATCCTTATTATTATAACAAGAAATGATTGAAAACCAAATTAAAGCGGTAATTCATTAATTAATGTAAGTGTTTTATTGAAGCCAGCATTATTTGAAGCACACTAATTTAGCATAGAGTACATTAATTAGTCCGCATTAATTAATTATGAATTACTTCCCAAAAAAAAATTATTAACTAATTTTTATGAATTACTTCCCAGCCTTCTCTTGGGCGTGCAAACCAGAAAAGTACGCTTGCGGGTTCGCCTCAAACTCAGCCCTCGAAATGTACTGCCCACCACCGCCAGGGGCGGGCATCGATCCCGTCCGACCGCCACCTCCACCTAACCCCACTGCCACCAGAAGCTCCTCCACCCTTTCCACCGCCACCTCCTCCACCGGAAGCCCCACCTCTAGCGCTTCCCCCTCCTCCATTAGAGCTGCCGCCTTTTCCACCGCCTCCACCAGATCCCCCGCCTTTACCGCCACCTCCACCCCCTCCTCCTTTACCGCCGCCGGCCATTATTTCAAGCTGAGATCGTTGTTATGACTTATGGGTAGGTAGTATATGATCGTACGAATTATGGCTTGCTAGCTATTGCATGTATTCGATCGATATATATAGAGTTAGAGTTTGCCTTTTCGTAAGGAAACGCTTTGGGTTTCAACCTTTTCAAACAAGTAAAAGATAATTTATTGAATTCAACTTTCAACTTTTTCATCAACATATATGTTTACGAAGTGCATTTATTTAATTTGGCAATAGTATGTAGATTTGAATTTTGAACGACACAAATTAAAGTCATGCATCAACGATTGCTGTTCTCTATTGAGCGATATGATGATATTAATTGTAAATTGGAATACGACATTAAAGCTTTCTCAAAGCTTTCAATTGTGTGTTAGCTTTTTTGTGAATGAAGTAGTAGTGTAGTACTTGACTAGATCGATTTGGGACTATTTTGTAAAAAGTCAGAGTAAAATCTCAAGCGGATTGGTTTTAGGACCAAGAAGTAGTAGTGTAGTACTTGACTAGATCGATTTGGGACTATTTTGTAAAAAGTCAGAGTAAAATCTCAACATCATCAATAATCAAGTCTCCCATCTAGACTCTGTATAGTTAATAGGTTCTCTCACTCCTTGATCGGACATAAAATAGACTACTCAAAAATGAGGGAGATTACTCGCGAAACACGCGAGAACTCTGAAGTCATTATCAACCTAATTGTCTGATATGGCTTCTACTCATTATCACACTAAAAAACACACACAACCCCCAAATATTAACAAATAAAAAAAGTAGGAAAAATTGACTAGAATATGTTGGAATAAATCCGATAATACTTTAATCTTCATATTGGAATTTTCTAGAGAATTAACTAAGCGGAAGCGTACCTGACTCCATAGGAGATGAT